ATTATATACCCCAAGGAAATCTTTTCATTTTAGCAGCTTTTTTATAGAATGTAACATCTGTAAAAAAAAAATGGAGCCTAAAAGGCCAATGAACCAGGGTATGACATTCCACTCGCCTTGGGGCTGATTATTTCCTCTTCGGCTTCGAAAGTCGCCACCGGTTGAGGGCTTCCTTAATTCCTTAATTCCTTAATTGACAAAAGAAAACGAACAAGTAGTGGCTAAGCTAACGAAAGGAATCTCCCTCTCTCTCTGTCTCTAGAGCTCCCTATCTATAGGGAAAGCTCTGTTGATTTAGTGATTCGGTTTCAGGCAATCTTGTTTCTTCCCTTCTTTCGCTTATAGAAAACATCATTCATTTATAAATATGAAAATTAGTGTAAAAAAATTTCTTCTGCTTTGCATCCTTTAGGAGGGGATAAGAAGGGAGACGCCAGTCAAAAAGGAGGGAGAAGGAGAGAAGCAGATGGGTTTCAAATCCGGTTTAATTTTGGTCGTTCTCCTGCTATTTTTTTTTACAGGTAATACATTGTTCTGGATCTTGGATATTTAACTGTTTTCGAGATCAGGAAGAAAAAAAAAAAATCTAAATTGCTCTCAAGTGCTTCATTAAATATGCTATTGCTAATTTCGTTGGCGGTATCATGATAAGAGGTTAAAATTTAGGATGCTGTTTCATAAAAAATGTTAAAATTTATAGCTCCTGAATATATGATTATAAAATCTTTTCTTTTATAATAAAAATGATCTATAAAATCTGATTTGCCTTTCCTTTAAGGTTTTAATAGTCACAGAAAAATGATAAATTGTTTCATCTTAATTGAAATCATAAAAAATGAGTTAGTTAAAAGAGGAATATACAATTACTCTTAGTCCAAGCTATTTCCAGTGAAACAAAGAGTTTGAAAAGCTTGTCTATAAGATAAAATTTCTCCTTTATATTCTTAATTCTTGGGAACTCCAATCAATTCAGAACAACTTCGGAAAATCAGCTTATATCAAATGAATCAATCTAAAATCAAACATTTAAGTTGAAAAGATTTCACATTTCGTTTTTGATAAAAAATTTGATGAAGTTAAACATCAAATCATGATCTAATCAATTTGACTCTACTTCATCAAACCCACCAAGCGAATAAAAACATTTGTTGAAAAAGAGAATTAATAAAATAATTTCAGCTAAACTGTTTCGTATTATTATTTTATTTTATTTTCTATCAAAAGAGCAGGCTAGAATCTGATTTTTTTTTCCATTCTTTTTTTTACATAAATAATTTAAGCGGCACGGCGTTCTTACTCAACGCGGGTCTTCACTATCGTGAACGAATGCAAAACATCCCTATGGCCCGCCGTGACCCCTGGCGATAACTTCAACGGCGGCGGTTTTTCCCTCCGGCCGGGCCAATCCGTAGTGTTCACTGCTCCCGTAGGCTGGTCCGGCCGAATCTGGGCCCGAACTGGCTGCAACTTCGACCAAGGCGGCAACGGCTCCTGTGATACCGGCGCATGCGGCACAATTCTCAAGTGTGCCTCAACCGGCGAAACCCCGGTGACCCTCGCCGAGTTTACACTTGCCAACTTGGACTTCTATGACGTGAGCCTTGTTGACGGGTTCAACGTTCCGGTGACGATCAGGGCTGTGGGAGGGACGGGCAGATGCATGCAGGCGGGGTGCACAGGAGATTTGAGGGTGGACTGCCCGGAAGAGCTCGTGAAGAAGGTGGGAGGGAGGGCGGTCGCTTGCCGGAGTGCGTGCGATGTGTTTAACACGGATGAGTATTGTTGTAGAGGGTTGTTCGGGAATCCGAGCACGTGCCAGCCGACGTTCTATTCGAAGAAGTTTAAGGAGGCGTGCCCGACGGCGTATAGTTATGCATACGACGACCCAACCAGTATTTTTACATGCTCCGATGCAGATTACGTTATCACTTTCTGCGCCAGGTGAGGTTTATCCTGCTTATTTTATTTATTTATTTATTTGGTATAAGTTCCATAATACTTATCTTTCCAATTTGATCATTTTATGTAAAAAATAATCTTTTCTATAAAAATTAAAACCGAGTTTTGAGTTTTCTATTTGTGTTCTTTTGTTATTATGATAAATCTAAAAAAGTGATTTAAATTTTTTAAAAGAAAAGTAATAGATATTTTTAAATATTTTAAATTTTGAAGTTTTAATATCTTTTAGATCTATTTGTCTATAATCGAATATTACATATATCTACACACATATAAATATTGCGAAGGAACAATGATTATCTTTTATAGCATATTTCTGAAAATGCTTTTTCATTGCAAATATTTTTTGAAATTGATACCAATTTAAAAATATTTTTCGTTGAATTGATTTTTAGGATGTTAAATTTTAACTATACGAACAAATTTATAGATGAAAATCAGGAGCAGATCTCATTATTATCCCTGTCGGGCATGTAGGATAGTTTAGTAATCATAGAAGTTAAGTTCAGATCTAAATCAAGTCATTATCACAGAATTTCACACTTACTATTATGATTGTACTAATAGAAATAAGATCCCTATTCTTCTAAATCAGTGAGAGTTAACTTAATAGTTCCACTAGCCTACTCCCTCTCAGCATGTTTTAACTAATTAATCGGGTAGATTGATTGTAATTGGTTTGACAAATGCACATTTATGCTTCCATTCGCAAAATAATGCAATTAAACAATCAAAATGCATGACTTGGTACCAAGACGTTAGAGTATGGTGCCTAGGCGACGGGCTCTAGCATCTAGGAGTTGCAGATCCAACACCACTTTTTCTCCTCGTTGTTGTCCACGCCATTTAGATTTAAAGCTTTGGGCACCTAGGCGTCTGACTGTAGCACCTAGGTGCCAACAAACCACCCCACATTTGTGTGAGACTAATCTTGAATTGGTAATTTGAATTGATTACACAATTAGTGGCTTCATAATAGACATGAGTTGATTAGTGGAACAAATATAATATGTATGATAATAGCATTAATTTTGAATTAAATATAGGAGATATGACAATATCATTAATCATTTAATTTTGAATTTGAATCTTAAATTCATTCTCAAAATTCAAATATGTGTAATCAATTCAAGTAGGCGCGAATTGATGACACTTAATTCTCTTGCCTTTATTATGTACGTTTCCGGTTTTGTTTCGGTATGTCTTAGTTAGTATAAAATTGGGTGTTGTGTTGCATTGTAAAACACCCAGACTTGTATCTTTTCACTCCTTCAAAAATAATAAAAGAGAATTCCCAAAAATCCAATCTTATTTTTTGATTTATCCTTTAGCGATCCATTAAATTGGAATCAACATTTGGTATCAGAGCGCCTAAGCTGAAGGACATGTCGTCACCGAGCAGAGCTATCACAGGAGATATGGCAGCAACGAAGATCGCG